GACCGCCAACGTGGACAGCGAGTGCACGAGCATGCCGAGGCCCTGCAGCACCGCGTCGACGAGCACCGTGCTGGCCAGAGGCTCGGGCCTGACTATGCCACCGCCTCCCTTACGAGGCCACAGACCGCCAACGTGGACAGCGAGTGCACGAGCATGCCGAGGCCCTGCAGCACCGCGTCGACGAGCGTGCCGAGGTCATCACCCTCGAGCACCACGACGAACAGCACCGTGCTGAGCAGGGGCTCCGAGCTCGGGCCGGACAACGCCACTGCCTCCCTTACAAGGCCGCCGTCCGCCGTCGTGGGCAGCGAGTGCACGAGCATGCCAAGGCCCTGCAGCACCGCGTCGACGAGCACCTTACTGACCAGAGGCTAGGACCGGACGACGCCACCGCCTGCGCCGCAAAGCCGCCGGCCGCCGTCGTGGGCAGCGACGGCACGGGCATGCCGAGGCCCTAGGGCACCACGACGACCAGCACCGTACTGGCCCGAGGCTCGGGCCTGACAGTGCCACCGCCTCCCTCACGAGGCCCCGGCCGCCAACGTGGCCAGCGAGTGCACGAGTGGACAGTCAGTGTGCCCCCCCCCCCTAACTCACACAGATTATGCAAAAGTCTTGACCCCATATTCCCCCACCCCTCTTTCCCTCTTAGCTCGCCATCTTTTTAGACAGTCCCTAAGACCAAGACTGCCCCCACTAGAAGAGAACGTGCCCCCCCCCCTTTTCCCCCTCGCCTTGTTCCCTTCAGAACAGGACCACACGGGGGCTCGGCTGTGGCGACGGTGCGTCGTTGGCAGGCCAGCGATGCGCTCCTTGCACCCCCCCCTCCCCCCTAGCCTCCCCTCTCAATACCGGGCGGCAGGCGGATAGTCGTGGACTGTTGTAGGTACTTGAGCCGTCCCGTGTACTTGGTCAAGTACACACTAAAACCTCCATACATTTATGCAGGAGATAGTGCATTCAAGTACACACTTCCAGAGTGTAGTTTCCAGAGTGTAGTTCGAACGTTATGGTCCAAACTAAAGTCTTACTACATAGATCCTTCTCCCCGGGAATATTGTTCGGCTCCTTGTGAGTCCATGGTAGTAACAAGTAAACACCATCATTTTGTTCAAATGAAAAATTTGAATTTTTAGAAGCAATTAGAATCAAGGAAATCGATGGGAATCGATGGGAATCAACGGGAATCATCGGGAATCAAGGGGAATCAGCGAAAAACACAGGGAATCGCCGGGAATCACTGGGAATCAACGGGAATCCGAGGAATCAACGGGAATCAACGGGAATCACGGGAATCAACGGGAATCACGGGAATCAACGGGAATCACCAGGAATCACGGGAATCAACGGGAATCAGTTCTTTCGGGAATCATGTGTACACTTAAAATCGGAGTTATTGCCCCCTCGGAGTGAGTGATTTTTTCGTGCCCTTATGTCGGGCAGGTTATGCTCTTTTGATCGCCGTATAGCATGTCGTCTTGTGTTGGCGTGAAATAGAAAAAATGCCAAAAAGGTGTGAATCCGCCTGCCAGGTCGGCACCACCTATACACACATGCATAGCGGTCTTGACATGGGGGAAACGACTGTTAAACTTGGTGTCAGGCGGATTACGGATTACCCGGATTACCTCTGGCGTATCCTCCGGATTACGTTAATTTTTCTTTAAGATTACCCTGGATTACCCTAAAATTTCTTCGGATTACCCCTGGATTACCCCCGGATTACTTCGAATTTCCTCGGATTCCACCTGCCGGATTACCTAACGGCTGTCAGCCTGATTACCTTAGTGGTTTTCCCCTCTTGAAGAAAGTTAACGTGCCCTCCAGGACCTACGCGTTTGGTGTTAGCAGGCGGATAGAAGCAGTGCACTGCCATGCAAACTACAAGCAGGTCACCCCCTGTCCAAACCCCTCCCAGGTAAGGATCGCGAGGATACAAGCCACTAGGATTGGCGATGGCGACCCACATATATGTTAATTTAAAGCATAATATAATATTTTAACCTTTTTTTTTGTAAAGTTAGTGGTTTTTACTAGTATTTTGACAGATTTATACCGTTCATCCTCCGCACGTGGTCCAAAGCAAGTTGGTTTGTCTTCCATTATATTATACCTTTTCAGATGCAGGCAGAGTATGACGGGGTGGTTTTCAATCGTCAGCTTTTGAGTGGCAGAAGTGTTAAGTTTGCAGTGCAAACATTTGTAAACTCTTCTACCATTCTCAAGAGGCTGATTAGAAAGGTGGTTTTTTAAGGCTTCCTCCACCTTACTGCACCCGTCGATTGCCACGCTGATGTCCAGAAATGGTTCTGTGCGCTCTGAAGTATGTTGACACTCCAAACATGTTGCTAAACATTAAAAAAAATACTTGCTTTTACACCATAGAGGTTTCATTGTCTAAAAACTTTTGAAAAGAAAATGGTTCCTTACTCTGTTGCTTCATTATCCCTCCAAAAATTTGGTAAATAGGCGAGGACTGCATGTGATAGGTCTCAAGTCTGTTGAAAAAAGAAAAATACACACTTAAATAGAATACTG